GCAGCCATGCAAACCCACATGCAGGTCGCTTTACAGGAGAATCAGAGGACATTGCCTGCCTTTCAGTGTACCCTGGGAGAGTATAGCACACTACAATGCGGTCCAACACAAGCGCTAAAATTCACCAGAATGTCTTCACATTCCTGTATTTTCTTGAGTCTCCCAGCCTTCTTGTCACCATTTTAACCGGACAAAGGTCTGTTGTACTGTCGGTTTTGTTTTTGTTTTTTTAAAGTACAGCAAAAACAGCAACATGAAGAAAGCTTCTCCTGATCAAGACTCTGAGGAAAGCTGTTCTTCTACTGTTTGATGTGAAAGTAAGCTGTTCAGTGTGGAGTGCAATAGCCAGCTACGTTCCTAACCCTCCTTTAGGTTTAATTCCTAAAATCACGATATGGGAGGAGATATTTATGAAGGTGGGATGGTTTCAACTGTTTTGAAAGGTTGCTCCAAGATTGGCTTTGGTTCGTGACATTAATCTCTAGAATAAAATCTGATGAATAAATAAAATAGCTGTCCTGTATAAAAGGCTTGGTAAGCCATTCATCAAAACATGATAGGGATACATTATATTCTCAGATACCCCCACATAAATACAGAAAAAAAAAAAAATCTGTTTCGGTAAGACTGTTCATATTATCCAACCTGGCCACCTGAATACAGCAAGTTAAGAAAATTAATTCAGGTAAGTACAAAAGCTGTGGCCGGTTCATTTTAACACATTCCAGCAGAACTTACTCTAGCCTGACACCGAAGCAGATGAAACCAAAATCTACTCTACAACAGACTGTGCAAAGAGCAAGATTTTCAGCCAGAAGATTGTGGAAATCAGGCTAAAATGACACTGTTCAACCAAATGTTAGGAGACAGAACTTCAGCTAGCAAAAAAAGCAAAAAAACCAGCTCGACTCCACTGACTTCAGGGGAGCCATCCCAAATACCATCAGCTGGGAATCTGGCACTGTCATAAGAAAGGTTTAGTCTGCAGGCTACCATTGCTATATCTGGTACTTTTAGTTAGTTCTTACAGACTGTAACAAAAGAAACAGCCAAAACAGAATTTTAACAAAGGGCATCATTCCAGGTAAGTGTCAAAGAATAAACACGTCTCTGTTCTACCAGCTCTGTAAAAGAAGGGGAAAAAACGTTGAATGTAGCAAAAGTGTAGTCCTCGATACACTGTGCTGCAGAAAGGGATGAACTACCAGAGGTACAAGTCCATAGAACAGTATAATTACTTCCTTTATAACTTTGCTCTCTTCTGATTATGTACATACATTTTATAGGTCCTCCATCCTTCAAAAGGGCATGGGAGGAGGGGGGCCGGCTCTGTGTAGCTGCTGGTAAGAAATCCTAATCTCAACATTGGTGTAAGCTAGAGGTGTCTATACATTTGAGCACTTCCTGTTTTCACTTTGTGATCAAATATGTTCTTTGCAGGGCAAATAGGGGAGCACTTGAGGGAGGAAAGCAGAGATGTCTGAGAGGCTAATTGAGTGTACTAAGGACTCCTTGGCATAGAGGAAAAGGAGTCTTCCAGAGCTATGAATAAACTCTCGGCTTGGGTCAGATTTCTTGCTGTTTCTTTTCTTTAACCACCTTTGAACTCAAATAAAAACAGCCTTAATGTCAGGTTTACCTTTCTGATGTCGTAATCTTTATGTACTATTGAAAAGCTTATACTACCAGACTAGGATTTCCTCTACTTTCTTAAACACTGGATATTATCCAGAAAAAGCATACACATTTCCAACCAATTCATCCTCAGATCTTTCATCTTCCGGTACTGTTGTAATTCCAAATGTAAGACAGAGCTCAGTAAGTGAACAAGAACATGACAGAAGCTCCTTCTTCTTGCATTTGATTTCCAACAATAAAAACATGCATGTGTATCCTATTTCAAATATAATTAAAGTTACTGTAAAATGGAAGCTGTGATAGGGGTTAGAAATTGTTTTGAAAGACACAGCCTGTCAGGTACATTCCTTCTACATCAGAGTTCAAGTGCCTGTCTCTTCAAAAAAGCCACTTAGGCAATTCAGTTTTTAAAATCAGCTACCTTAGGAGTTTGCAAACTGATTGAATAAAGGAAAAAAATAGCATTTTATTTAAAATCATGAGCAAACACAATTAGTCAGAACTGAGTTCCTCGCTTTGAATTTGACAGTCTAAAGGAATTTCACGTTTAATCCATGCCATAAGAGATGGACTGCCACTGCCTCTCCTTCCAGGGAAACCAGAGGTTAATGATTTTTGTCATATTGAGACTAACAGCTAACAATTGCTACAGTTGGCCTTTAGTATTTTATTTGTCCTTTTGAGGTATTCAGAATAGGTGACAATGGCTTGCAGTTGAGAACATATGTAGAGAGACCCCTGTGGCTTATGGAAAAGTTGCTCCATGCTGGTTGGGTGTTTGAAAAAAAAATACAACCAGAGCTCTTTTATGTTCCTCTCCTTAATGAATGCATGAATGTCAAAATGTACCAATGGCCCATTCAGGGGGCAAAGCCTAAGCAGCTCCTTCTTTAAGAACACATCCTGAGATGTAAAATACGTTTGCTTAACAAATTAAAATAATGAGATAATTCAATTAGTTTCTTTAAAAAAAAAAAAAAAAAGAGAAAGAAAAAAGGGTACATCAGGGGATTATTGTAATACAAGAACAGGTCATACAGCACAAACGAGGAACAAACCAATTTGAAATAAGGTTAGAGTAGTAATGAAGGAATGTACATTGAATCATGGACTGCCATTGTAAAGATATTTACTTGAAACAATAAAATTGTACATCACAGATTCCCCTGTTCTGGCTCAGCCAGCATTGCACTTTGAATGGACAAGCTAATTTGAGAAAAAGTGCGAGATCTTTAAAAGAAAGGAGTTCTCTTCCTTCCCTGCATGTGTTTATGGCAAGAATCTTTCTGAATTTACATTGCACTGGTCAGGGGTCTCCATTATCAGTTTTCAGGTCTGAGAATTACAGCACAGTAAATCTTTCAACACCTGCAAACTCATTAAAGCTTGGTCGGTAAAAGGTTTGGGGCTTTTTTGTGTTCATTTAATTTGATTTTTGCGGGGCCATCCTCACCAGTGATGGCAAATTTCCTCAATTCATGCAGGATGGAGAGGGTCAGGAGAGAGAGGATGGAAACAAGAAAAAGGGATTTCAAAAAGCCAGGAGGACTTTCCTCAAGAGAAGCAAGAGGCAGTTGACTGTTTAATAAGCATGTGTCGAATGCTTTCAAGGAGCACATGAGAAAGGAAGGCAGGGAGAAAAAAAACAAGATATCACAAATTTCATAAGAGGAAATGGAGTTAACACGGAGACATGTACAAAACAAACTGGTTTATTTGTGGCCCTGCTTTTTGCTGTCTGCCTGTACTACTCCTCTAAAGATACCCTACAGCTAAATGAAAAACCCTCCACTCACACTCACTCGACTTCCAAATTAAAAACATTTTACAGGTTAGTAAATCTCCAGCTGAGGTGATGTAGCAAAGAACAGCTGTGAAGTAATTTTGATAATGATGAGAATAATAAGCACATGGCAAGGTTCAGGGCTTTGCTGTTGCAGCTTCAGTGCTCCTGAATAGATAAAAGTGATTAAATACTCCTGATTATCCCTGACCAATATGTAATGGATTTACAGCCCTTTCAATTAGTCAGTATTTGCTTAGGACTCATTATTTTGTCTTTGGTTAAGTAATCAGCCCAGAGACTCATGTTCTGTCTAATTCCTCTGAGCCAAGTGGGTACAGGGCACCTGACCTTTGAAATGGCCATAGCTGGGAGGCAGGAATAACCACTACTCCAGCAGAGACACTGGCTATTCCAGCTAATCCTGACCCCACAGGCCAGATCAATGCACCTTAGTTTGCTACTAATGTCCTTACATCAAAATGATGGTTTAGAAATGTGGATCTATCGCTCCCCCCTTTAGCTGTGCTGCTAGCAGAGCAGTTCAATAGTCCCTATCATAAATAAAGCTGGTACCTTGTCCTGAAATCATTACACTGTAACCAACATCAGCTACCATGGAAATTTATAAAACTTCGGTAGAAGAGGAGGTAGTTAATAACAGTTAGCATTTTAAGCCTTATCAAGTGAGAAACAATTTTACAGTGAGAGGAAGAGGAAAATCAATTGATAATTTTACCAGTTTCCATTATTTCCCACATGAAGTAAACTACAAAGAGTGTTACTAAGTTTTGTGTGGAACCGTGTTTTGATGTCTAAGTGAAGCTATAATAGTCAACAGAACACCAACACATAAAACCAGTTGCAAGCAGGAGGATAAATATAGCCCATGAAAAACATTGCTTTTTCACATATTTAATCTCTCTCCCCCAAATGTGAATATGGCTAGCTTTTAACATAACGGATTTGAAGAAAAGCTATAAAGGTGCTTATTCTCTCTGTTATGCAACTGAAGAATTATGGAACCTGTAAGCCTTCTATATTTCTCACAAAAAAGTACGAATGACAAGTTTACAAGCTCCTGCTTTGACTTCTCTAACATCCACAGCGTACGTCAGCCCATACAGACTGGGGCTCGCTCTTCCTTTTTTCCGCCACATACATATGAAGTTTGCATAAACAGAGGCCAGCAATAAAGATTCCAGAAGGCAGAGCTTTATATATGCTAAAGCAAGAAACCCCCTTTTTTGTTCTTAGGAACATTTTGAATAGTTCAAAGCAAAAAATGGTTACTTTATATGTAGGTGTTGTTCCATGCTAAGGCTTTGTATTCTCTCTCTCTTTCTCTCTCTATAGGCATGTATGTGTGCATATATATACATAGAGAGATAGATGGATTTCAGATTTGTCATGATTCCAAGAGCCAAGAAAAAAAATCTAGGGGGGGGAAAAAAAACCAACAATAACTGACCCCTAATAATGGTCCAAAAATTATGGGGACAATTGATTTCTAATAATGATGAGTAAACCTCATTAGGCACATGAATAGAAATCTATTTTGGTTTTGGGCACCACTTACTGTGAGATGCTGGAAAAGCCACGCTCTCATGATATTTGTTGCTACTTTGGGGAAAATGCCTCTTTTCTTCTGACGCTTTTTGTCCTTGTCTGGGTCATCGTCATCCCCTGTACCAGGTGAGGCTACACTGTTGTCTAAACCATCTCCTACAACAAAGAGAAAAACAGGAAAGAGGAGACATTTAATGAACAAAATATAGAAGCCAAAAAGTATTAATTACCAACACACTACTACAGTTTTATTTTGACTTGCTAGATCAGGCACATACAGTTTCTCATTATATATGAGTGCTGATACAAATACGTAAAAATTAGAAACCATGTCTCTCCAAATACTAATTTTGCATTTCACACATGCATATATCATTAATTCAATTATAATTGTGTGTTTGACATAGTGCAATAGCTCTTTGTCAATTATGGGATTCAACGTGGGAAAACCTGCCACAAGAAAACCCATTCACTGTAAATGCATCCCTACAACCATTCTGAATACGTACTATAAGTAATCAAGTTAAATGTTCTGTAGTCTATATATTCGAGGCCCTCTGCAGAGGTGGCAGTAACCATGTCACCGTTCAGTGCACATAACACACTCTTAGATGAGCCCCTTGCCATAACCATCACCTCCCAACACACATACACACGCACGCACAAACATGTACACCTAGTGTGACCCTGCATATCGCATTTGCATGACATGAAAACTTCTACATCTCTGCATCAGTGATTATTATCATTAAAAAAAAAAAGATGCACATCAAGGTAGAGCTCTCACTTAATCAGAACTTTCCATCAACATCTTTCTCTTCTGTGCTTTTTCCCTGGCATTAATTGTGCATTAGCAAAAATCATTTACTTTTAACAGTCATAGTTATTTTTTCTTGCCCTCCAGCAAAAATGCCTTGAAAGCCTGCCTGGAGGGCATCTAAATTATGTATCTGAAAAACTCTTCTGGCAAGGCATTGCAGGACCCCTACTTTCTTAAAATTCATACGAGCACGTCTTCCTGTTTTTGGGAAGGCATCAATCAAGAGCAGCAATATATGCCATATTCCTACATTAATATTTGAACTAATAACTTTAAAAAAAGGAAAGAAACAAGATCCGACTTGTGGCATAATCAAATGCAAAATAAATGAAGAATACTGGGACAGCACTGAGACTTTATAGATTGCTGTGTTTTCCTTACACATCATTAGCCCGGAGCCACACGAAAGAGGAAAACAGAGAAGTGGAGAGTTTATGCTCCCTGCTGGTGTTTAAGAAGCCGAGGTCCTGGAAGGACATCTGGGAATTGTGCTGAGACGGTGGTTTTTGTAATTTAAGAATAGACATTCATTAGCAGTAAATGCCATAAATCCCATGCTAAGTAAAAACCTTGTCCAAGAAAGCCTAAAACAATAAACTCTGTGCTCAATGTAGCCTGAGCTAGACGCTCCATAGCTTCCTGAGGAATGCTATAGATTCACGAGCTAATTCCTATAGCCTTGTCTAGCTCTATAGTGCTACTAAACGAAATACGTTGCTGCTACATACAGTCCATTTGCTTCAAAACTTGCATTTCAGCTCCATCTTCCCTCCCGTGCCAGATCACCCTTCTTCTGCTGCCTCCCCTCTGAAAAACCAACCCTTTTGGATCGGAGAGACAGAAAAAGCCACAGCAAAGAGCTGGCAGATTAATTTTATTGACATTTCCATTTTCACTGCAATGTGATACCCTCCATCACATGGAAGAGATGACCCTCACTATTTACAGACTGACAGGCCACTTCATTACAACCACCCTGCCCCAAGGCAGAGCAGCTCCTTTCCATCTGCCCAAACACCAGAGCAAGACCCTGAAGTCGCTGCTCTCTTTTCTCATGCTCCTTTTTTTTTTTTTTTTATTTGTTTCTGTTAACGATAGAGAAAGGAGAGTCGAATCACAGCAAACTAATCAAAGAGATTATGGAAGCCCTAAACGCTGTAACCAACAGTTCACTTTTGCAAGACGTTGGTTATTTAGAAAGCACTCCTTTCCGTTGCTCTCCCCCCCCATATATTCCACCCTACCCCTCTCTCTCTCACACACACATGCACACGCGCGCACACACACACACACTTTCCACTGTGCCAAGGAACTGCTGCAAGGCAAATTCTCACAAACACTAATGGCTTCTGACTGCTCCTTGGCAACCCCAGCATTTTAACCTGGGTGGATATGCTCTCCAAAATACAGACACTGGAGCTATCTCATCAGCTGTTCATGTGACACAGATGGAGAGTGGCTATTAGGAGCCAGGCAATGGGCCTTGGGGATCTGAGGTGCTGTACTGTAGCCTCAGGCAATTTTGAAAAGCAGTACCGGGAGATGGGGGGAAAAAATCCCTACTGAAAGTGCAAGTTTGAAGTCAGTCAGTCTGTTTGTCTATCTGTCGTGCAGATAAAGATATCTTTGTCTCTTTATGTAAAAGCTGTGTGTGTATGCACAGAATGCGTGGAGCTGTAAAACTTCCGCTCTGCACAATCCTTTCACACCGCAGAAGCACCGGTTCACCCTCTGTATGGACAAATTCCTGTTTCTCTGCCTATGCATGCTCTCCTGTTTGTAAGCATCCTCAGCAGGAGTCACCTACATGCTAAATCAGTGTTTAGACCTTTTGGAGAGGCTGTTAATATACTGGTTTTAAAAAGCTAATAGCAGCCCAGGAGATGAAAGTTCAGCTAAAGCTTCCACTGCCTTCCCACCTCAATCAATGGGTGAAACGGTAAGAGTCAGTGCTTCCCTAATCTGTTGCATAACCTCATGAAAGGATATCCAAATAGTGTACCTCCAAATGACCTCAGAAGATGAATACAGCAAGATTTGATGCTCCTGGTGAACTACAGGCCCAATCCTGTTAAGCTGTATTGTCATAGCTTTAATAGCACTACAACTGCTCATAATAGTGGATACGGTTTCTAGGGGCAAGAAATCATAGAAGTAGCCCATAACTGACTTTTCCAAGATGGAATGATTTACTTCTTGGATATGCACGGCCTGATCCTGGTTTGCTGTATCCAAATAAACATGAGTTACTTTAAATGAAGGGAAAGAAATTATCAGAAGTGAAATAAAATGTACAGACGTGAAAGTCACTCTGTTGAAGACTGGACTGAATATACTTTCAACTGCTGTATGAAGGAATCTACGTGTCAGCTGTCCTAGCTATGCTCCCTCCCAGCTTCTTGTGCACCTGGCAGAGCACAAGAAGCTGAAAAGTCCTTGACTAGTGTAAACTCTGCTCAGCAAGAACCAAAACATCAGTGCGTTATCAACATTATTCTCATCCTAAATCCAAAACACAGCGCTCTACCAGCTACTAAGAAGACGTGAAAGTCACTCTGTTGTGAAACCAGGACAGTATACTTTCAACTGCTGTATGAAGGAATCTACGTTTAAATCATTTAAACCATCATTACAAGTGATTCCGCTTATGTGAACTGTTCATATCCTGATTTGAATGGTAATTTGTAAGAAGAGTAGAGTCAAGTCCTAACTCATATGGAAATTGCAATTATATAAGCATAGTTATCCCAATTGTCTAGTGGGGAAATTAAATCTAGATTTTGGCCCACTGACCCTCTCTTTCACATAGCAGCAAAAAAATGAAGGGCGACTTTCTCCTGCTTTGCACACTGTTCACTCGTTCATTCTTGTGCAAAGAGTACAAGTGACTGCAAAACCCTATCACTGTTCTAGGAAAGTGGAGAATTCTTAAGTGGCACTCTCTTTGTGAAGATGTCAATGACTACGCAGGATTCAAGCCAGTAGAGAATTAGGCATGTTACTCAGCTTGTTTAAGATTATATCAATGCTATATAATAGTCTCAATAACCCCTATAAAAGATGGAGAGAGTTTACAAGAAACTTTGCAAAGTGACCCACATGGGGTTCCTTAGAGACGTTCTCTTCTAGGGGAAGGGTTTGTGGAGGAGGCAGAAGATGCAAGTCCTCTTTACGCAGCGGGATGTTAGGCTTCCACACTAGCTCTGTGTGCAGACACTCTTAGCACGTGCCGACGGTTTCTTCCCACAAGATAAATTATTTTGCATTGAAAGCAAAGGAGACTACCTCTTCTTTAAAAAATACTGAATAAGTAGTTAAAGCAGGGTTTCCATTGCACCATAATTTCAAACTTAACTTGTTGCAAATTGATTTTCTTGGACAGACTAGCTTTCTGACCCCAATGTTCATATAGCTAAGGACTCTTCGGGAAATAGAGTCCAGTCCTACAGAAGGCCAGTCCAACTTTATCATATCAATGAATTCCTCTTTGACAGTCCTCCACTCTACCAGTATTATCTCAACCCTAGTCCTTGTTTGTGCTCCTCACAGAGTAAGGACCCAGCAAGAGATGAAGCGAGTGCTGCTTAGAAGCTGCTCATCTAGTCTTTTCATCATTTGTGAATGGGATGAATAACAGATTCCCAATCTATGCAAAATGATAACTGAAAAGGATAACCCAGTCAGGCCAAAGCACAGAAGCCTGGTAACAACCCATATTCAAACTCTAGAAAGAGGTTCTATTACCATCATATCAAGCAGAGCAATAAGAAAAGTGATTTCTGGAAAAATACATTTCGGGATCCAGTGTTTGAGTTTCTTCACCGTCAGAGGTCCCTTACAGGTTTGTGGTTTGTCATGCTAAAGGAAAAGAGAGAAGAGCGGGGGTATCTAAGGTGGGAGGAAGACAAGACACTTCACCATTTTTCTAAAAATAGCGCAAGCATTATGAAAACAAAGTTAAAAGATTCTGAAAAGGAAAGCTGCGGTGCACTATGCTGATCTTAAGTAAACTACTCTACAATCTTTCAGTCCAGTATTTTGATGGAGTAGAATATGTAGATATAAATGCAAAACAAAGAGGAGAATCTGCATGCAGCTTATATTCACAATTTGCAATTATTTGTTTTTACTTACAACATGTCCATCTGGACACATAAGTATTGTAAATCATTATTAATAAGGATGTTCAACTTAGTAACATGATCCACATCACCATCAGAGAGAAATCTTAAAAATCTGGTTAATTACCACTGCCAAAAAGCTGGAAAGAGAAGTGTTTGAATATGTTTTGAAGCTAAGACAGTCTGTGCTGTAGGGAGGACTAATAGAGAAGGAA